GGACAATATTTGTCCCTTTTTTTAACATCAAATTTTAATGCTTTTTCATGAATTTTTTTGAATAGGAAAACAAAATGCAATCGCTTTGAAATTTTAATATGTTCCTATCAGTATCTTAAACTATACAAAAAAATTTTTTTTAACCTAATTTGGACAATATTTGTCCCTTTTTTTAACATCAAATTAGAGTCCCCCAATTCAATTTGCGGAAGCACAGAGCCTTTGTAGACATCTGAAACAAAAAACTAGAAATACTTATTATTTTTTAGGCCTAATTATAGACATGATACCAACAATATGTATATTTTTTTCATATAAAAACAAAATTACGGACGTGTGAAAAAAAAATTTCAAAATCGGTGCTGTTTCTTACCTTTAATTGTTTAAAAATATATATTTATTATTAGAAAGTTAAAGATTTTTTAGGTTCCAGTCATCAGAATATGTGTAAAGAATAACTTGTAAAAATTTTAGCCTAATCGGTTCTATCGGTTTTTAGTGAGTGCTTCCGCAAAATTTCAAAAACGTAGTTTCGAGAAAAACGCGTTTAAAGTTTTGAGAACAGATTTTTTATAAAATAATTATACTAACATTATTCTGCTATGCCTGGTGCATACAGTAGTCCTTCAGCTTCCTCATAATTATCATTTTAAACAGCTTTGAAAACACTACGTAGGTTTTGGCCTCTTTAGAGTAAGCTTCTGTAGATTTTTCGCTCTCAAAATACGAGCATTATCAACGGTGTCGACGTAGTTTCTGACTGTTTGACCAATGTACTTAACGTATTTCAAACCATAACGCTCCTCAGAACGCTTGAACATTTCAGAAACACTGTCGACCTTCATTTTGCCACTGCTACCCTCGTGATTTGCTGTGCATTCATTTTTGTGATCTTCAAATAAACTCTCAGCTTTGATTTTGTTTTTTGTTGCTAAATACTGACATCCTTTACATATGCTTGATTTTACTATTACATCAATAATTTTATTCGAAAATTTGCTTATCAACAACACAATACCTAACAGAGAGTAAATAGAGGCAACAAAATAGAGGCGTTCTGAGTTATACACACTACGGCGCGCTCCATACTTTCGGTTATAACTTTGAGAATACTTTAAATATCGGTCTGAAATTTTCGAAGCATAATTTTGTAATGTTTTTCTTACGAAATATGTAAAAAAAAAAAATTTGATTTTTTTAAGTCGACACAGGGGGGTACTACCTTAACCAAAAAATAATCTACTACAGTCTTCCTTACCGACTGTAGTGAACAGTTGGAATAAGTTTCAAGTAACGGAGGCTTTACAATCACAAAAATAAACAAATGTACGATGAAAGATTTAAAGAATTTTCATCATCCAGTGAATCTCGTATTTATAAAATATTTAAGGAAATAAATGTGAAATAATAATAAACGTTTAGTGTAAATAAGATTTAATAATTATGATGAAAACTGTGTCAGTAAGTTATTTATGGTAAATCCTGAGCATAGAAATTTTTTAGAAATTTTTTATTACAAAAAGTTGGAATTTGAAATTTTGAAAAATCGGAAAAAAATGGATCCCATCGATTGCCCATTAAGGGACTAGGCTTAAAAGTTGGGGGATAATTGACAGTTTTTTAGAAAAAATTTTTAAGAAAATCGATCAGTACGTGTTTTTTGGAAATCAACATTTTAAAGTCAAAATTTAAAAATCTTATAGAAATACAGTTTAAAAATTTTTTTTGATTTTATATCCTAAAAGTGTTTAAAAACAAAAATTTTCAAAAAAAAAAAAACGTCCCGATTGGCCCATTTTTCGCAAAGTTACAGACATTTGAAAAAAAGAAAAGCGATTTTTTTCAAAAATTGATATCTCGAAAACAGCTGAGCAAAAAAAATTGAAAAAAATCATGCAGTCTTTTTTAATGGGTACTATAACATAAAAAATTTTCAAAAAAATCGGAGATGAAAAGGCAGAATGCTATCCGATTTGGCGTGGAATGCCCCATATGTACTTTATCGACTTTACAGAGTTACAATATTCCACATTGATGTGAGTCTCAAAAGCTTTGGACAATATTGGCGAGTATAGCACAATCCAACGATTGTCTACATCAACATTTTGTCCTCTTACCTTCACAACTACCGATCGCCCATTGGCCGCAACTGATCGCTGACGATACAATGGGTATCCATCATTTTTTACTATAGTTTCAGCAAGCAGGTCTTTTAGGTATTGCTTGGAACACTTGCTGTCGACAATACAAGGTGAATTGTAGTTGAAAAGTCCGCAAGGTCCATGTATTATGTGTTTGGTAACTACTGCATGCAATTTTGGGTTAACTGTTTCATCTGGAATTTCAGCTGAAATTATGGAATCAATCTCATCTGGCCTTATTTTGTCCACTAACCAGACTAAAATGTGCGCATGTTACAATCCACGCTTTTGCTATTCTACAGAGTACATCCAACAACGGACTCGGCCATACACACAATGCTTTATTAAGAAATAAATGAGAGATTTTAATTTTTGTTTAAAAACTCTGGCAGTTATGTCATGTCTATCAACTGGTGTTTGGCTATGTCGCAATTTCCTCTTGATTTCGGACCATTTTAGGTTACATGTGAATGTCATAAGTAAATCTGGGCGGCCATAATGCCTAACATATGACATAGCATCCTGAGCATATTCGTGCATGTGGCGTGGGCTTCCTATATAAGTGGCTGGCCAAATTATCATTCTTCCCACATTATTCACATTGTTATCGGCATTTATAGCATCGCGGAGATGAATGTATTCCTCTGATCGTAGCTGTCGTTGGTTCAAACGGATGTATGTCAATCGTTCAGTCTCAATTTTGACATACATATCAACTGCAAACTGATGAAAAAGTCTTTGACACATCAAAATATGATTTACTTCACCTTGACGGATCATTAGTCTGTATGAATAGAAATTCACAGCACTAACTTTTTTGTTGGTTTCAGCACCTGCAATCAAAAATGATAAATGTTTAATTTGTTACTTAGATGAATTAAATTTAAAAATATTATTTAATCTTGTTCAATTTATTTACCTGTTACTTGATTTACCATTTTGATATTAAAATGGTATCCATCTTCCCCCTGCCAGAAGATCAAAGAATATTGTAATGCATCATAACTCCTGTGTGTTTCAGATACACGTTTTAAATCACTATTCCGACGATGAAGCACAATATCTTTAGATTGTAAATTTTCTCCTACAATGACAACAGCTACTCGTCAATGGTAGGTGAATTAAACCTCCTTGTGTGTTCACCGGCAGGTGTTTTGTCAGCTCGAATGATAATATTATGGCTATCAGATGGCATATGATCCAATACTATTTTGAACATGTTTACTAAATTGTTATTCTGATGAAGAAACATTTGTAATTCTTGGACAATGGTTCTCTTTACTGTTGGATTATGAGTACAACGATTATCAACTTCCGCATCTGAATTGCCTATAAAGTAAATTTGTAAAAATTGATAATCTGCATCAGGTAGTGGTAACAGTGCCCCCAGTAAGTGATAAATTTGTCCTTGTATCTTTAATTTTTAAAAATTTGTCCATTATTTATTTCCGATATATATATTTTAGTACATATTGAATATTATAAAAAAATATTCTGGTATAATACCTTGAAAGTGGGCATGAAATTATCCTGTATAATATGTGCAGCGCCAAATGATGTCATCTGGAAACAGCTGTTATATTTCTGAATGTTGGTTAAGAAGTGCTTAGAATCATTTCCAATCCCAGAAACTAAAGATCGTAAAGGATCTGGTGGTGGGACCAATTGTGGCAATTTTACTTTGCCTCCAGCACAACATAATCCAGTAGATTCACCAGTGTATTTAAACGCCTTACAATATTTACAAATTCTTTTCATTTCCCCAATTGTTACTGATTTGTCGGCACAATAATCAATTGCCGAATCATAGTGGAATGCAGCTCGTTCAAGAATCACAGGAGCACTGCGTCTGCGAATTCGCTTAATTTCATTATGTCGTGCTTGCTGTTGTTGTGTTTGATGTGCACGAACTCGTTGCATTCTAAGCCTATCTACTTCATTGTCACTCACTAAATAACGCAATTTTGACAGAGCAATACGACTATTTTCTTGATCTGTCTCTTTCTGGTCATCAGTGCGGTTAGCATGTGAGGTAGCTCTTCGCACATTTGATTGACTGCGACGACCTAAGTCAGGTCGTCTTCTCCTCGGCATCGTAAATTGTAATTAATCAAAGTGAGAAAATTTCTCGCTCACTTAGCAGTAAAGTGTCACTATCGCAAAATATCAAAAAAAAAAAAGAGCACATTACTTGGAATGTCACTATCACAAAGGATCACCAAAGTAAAGAAAGTTCTCGCGCACTCATAGATATCGTATCACAATATCGTAATACTTTTTTCCGTGTTCTGAAGTGCGACAGGATGGATTGTCAAATCTATTGTCAAATATTATGGTTGCGTTCAGAAATTTCATTTGTGACAAAACTTAATATTTATCAATCTATAAAACAAAATAATCCGATAGATTAACAACTGAAGTTAGCTAAAACTTGAATAGCAATAAAGTTCAAATTGACTCTACATTTTATTTAGAAAACGTTTATATAAGAAAAAGAAAAGGGCTGTTTCTAGGGTTTTTTTCGGCAATTATTTTAATTTTTCTCACTTTTTAAACCTTCCCTAGACCTCCACGAACATTTCAAGACCAAAATAAGATAAATCCGTTCAGCCGTTCTCGAGTTTTAGCGAGACTAACGAACAGCAATTGATTTTTATATATATATAGAAGATAGAAGAAAAAGATAGAAGACAGAAGATAGAAGATAAATCCTACAATTATCTTACTATCTGTCTATTCGTCTCATTCTCTCGAAACTTAGATTTTTGAAGGTTTCACTTCTAACACGTGTGATCTGCACACATGATTTTTTTTATTTATTTTTTTTTTATAGGTAGTAAACGCAGTAGTTATGTTGGTCTAATCGGCGGTTCGATAAGTCCACCGGAAGACCATCAAATCGTAAAAAACAATTTGATGACCCTGACGAAATTCCAAATTGGATCGTACAGGCTGAATTTTGAATTGTACAAGGCCTCAAATTATCGTACGAATGGGATCACTGACTCCGCTGCCGGTCGTATTAGCGACCTCATAGGCGATCACAACGCCATCAAATCTTGCGTTCATTAGCATAAGCTGGACGCACGCGCACAGACACTCACATCACACGTAGTAGGGTTCACACGTATAGCATACTCATACTCTTACAGCTCGGCCATTCCTGACAATCGTTCGTCCTTGAACCTATAGCAAAGTCGTTCCATGAAACTTATCTTTTCAAATACATATTAAAATGAAATACGTAGTAAAATTAAATGCATAGAAAAATCAAATACAGCATAAAACGTAGATATATATTGAAAATAAGCATAATATAAAATAGCAATACAATATAAAAATGGAAACATGCAATAATTCAATTATTCAATGAGAGATGTTCTTTCGCCATAAACGCATGTTTGCTGGTTCCTAAACACCTTTATACTTTTTCTGAGTAACTTGAAAACTGGGTATATCAGCAATGACATATCTATTATTACGTAAAACTTTAGTCACTTGATAAGGACCTTTAAATTGTGGAATTACTTTTGGAGAAATACCTACTGTATTATCATAATTTTTTATCATAACGTAGTCATCTACTTCATAGACTATTGCGTCTTTTCGCTTTTTATTGGCTTGAGCTATTACCTGATTTTGTTTTTCAATTATTTTCTTACTGGCCTTATCTCTTATCTCTTTTAGGTTTCTTTTTTCGCANTATATATGACCCTTTTTTTTTTTGACAAAAAATTAACCCTTTCGCTACGGTGGGCCTGTGCTGTCAGATCGTGGGTAAATCTTACCCTCTCCGTGTGCCACTGGGATTGCACACAATGAAAGTTGTCCATGTCCGTGTGTTTGGGATGTCGAAAGAAGTCGAGTGTAACCGAAGTTGGCGGGCACGCCGGAGTGGCACACTATGAAAGCGACTCGTGTCGTCCGAACAATGGAACGATGGGATCCATTTTTTTCCGATTTTTCAAAATTTCAAATTCCAACTTTTTGTAATAAAAAATTTCTAAAAAAATTCTATGCTCAGGATTTACTATAAATAACTTACTGACATAGTTTTCATCATAATTATTAAATCTTATTTACACTAAACGATTATTATTATTTCATATTTATTTCCTTACACGTTTAAATATTTTATAAATACGAGATTAACTGGATGATGAAAATTCTTTAAATCGCAAAGTATCTTTTCCGTCTGGAATGACACAATGATATTTCTGCKTCCCTGTGATTGTTTTTGCTCTTGAATATCGTTGATCTAATAAAAGTTTAGCCTGATCATACTTTTCATTTGAAAAAAATTCAATATTCATATTTGGTAAAGAATTTGGTTTTTCCGCCCATTCAAATAGTTCGACAGGAGTTGAAATTTGTTGGTCATACGGAAGTTGAAGACTTGATCGTGCTGCCATCCTTTTGAAAGTCCCTCCAGCTCTATCACAAGGTCCTTTCCCATGTGCGGTTGCAAAGTAATGCCATTCAGCTTTAATTCCAAAGTCTTCTTCATGATAATGAAGATTTACAAAATTTTTGAAATTTTTAAATTGTTGGGGTGCTCCGTCAGAAAAGTAAATAATTTTTGAGATATTATTGAAAAGACCTTTGATAAAATTAGTGGTGATTCTTGTAAACTCATGAACAGCAACTGCATCGTGAGATAAGCAATCTGATACAATTACTAGACTCTTATGAACCAGCTCATTATTGTTTTTATAATAAATTACAACTGGATAAACAGTTGCCTGGCTGTTATTCCAGTGGAATCCAGATGCAGCATTCTGGATAACAAAAGCATAATTTTCCGCAAAATCACAGATAACAWTAAATTCATTCTCCTTCAATGATTCTTTCAACGACCTCAAATAACTCGCTTGCTCTTTAGCAATATAATTATGAGGAAGAAGACTTGTGATATTCTCACAAAAACTGTCTACAAAATCTGATGAAGTTTTCACAAATGTCTCTAAGCTCGTACGGGGATTTGAAATCCAATAYTTATAAGTAATTTCATCAATTCCATTTTCTTCTAGTACATTTAATAGTAAGTCTTTCAAAGTTTGTATTCCTGGACACTTATCACAGTTGTAAAARAAACAATCAGAGGTAGGGTTTTRAYATATRATTATCTTCAGGCAGTCACTATACGTCAGTAATGGTGTTGYTAATTGTTSAGTAAGTGCTGTCAAGTTACACCCTGTAATAAACGAGAYSATGAATGATTTTGAAAAAGACTTTTCTAGTGTATCACTTACCTAACATCATAAGCTTGACATTTTGGTGTATAGAACACACACAAATAGTGTGAGTTCCACTCRAACCAGCAAGCACGCAATGTTGAGGACGCAATGATGCAAATTTTGAAAAATGAACCTGGCAATCTGGATGACGTTCCTTGAAAAGTTCATATAACTCTTTTAAGTTCGAGAGAATGAGACGTTTCTGGACATGCTCACGTTTCCGTCATCATTTCTAATAGAAAGATAATCTTTCATCCCTGGCATATTTACACTAATTTCATCACTAACATAAAATKTTAAAATCTTAGATTTAATGTCATTCGATAGATGTCGACCTAAAATGTAAATAAATTKAATTTATTATCACTAAAAACATTAATAGGCATTATTGATTTGAATATGATTTTGAAAAGATTCTAACCTAATTTKGCATTTGGAGTTGAAAGAATTCCTTTTTTTTCTCGAAGAGATTTTGCAATTGACGCCATGTATATTGTACAACCCATTACTTCACATACTCGAGATAATCCCCATGATTCAGGTAAAAGAGTAAGAATTTGAATTTTTTCACATCGTTGCGTATTACTATCGTTGAATTTATTTTTTAATTTATCGA